CCCCAAAACCCCAAAACCCCAAAACCCCAAAACCCCTCTCACAGACTTCCAATTGAATGCTCTTTGCTCACTAACACTTCACACTATTCTTCACACTTCTCAATGCTCTCTTTGCTTTCTTCAGTGCTTCCATGGTGTTAATAGTCTGTTCTCTCTCAAGTACAACATTGGGATCTTCTTGAGCTAACTTCACCTTGTTTTCATACTTAATGAACTCTGAGAACAAGAAGCCGCGTACTTCTTTGATACTATCTTTTATGAGAAACTTCACTATGGATTTTGGGATCCTTGATTTGAACTGCTTCTTTAAGATAGCAATGTAAGCCACTATAACTCTTTTCATTGATATTATATTTGTAGTGTCATCTTTAGTTACACCATCAGCAAGATTGATTTCTCTGTTTACCCTCCAGGTTCCAAAATCCTTTTTAGCGTGTTTGTATTTAGAGAGAATTGAGTTTTCATCATCTGAACTATCTGGTTCCTGAATTTTCACAACAGGAGCGATTGAGTTTGGTATTTCTTCTTCAGTCTCGTTACCACCAAAATGTTGAACCTTTTTGAACTGGATGCCGATAGCTTTCTTGGCTTTTCTGACGGCGTGTCTGACCTGCCTTTCCATTCATTTTTGGCTGAATAGTTCTGGGCCTAGATCGTAGATGTTCTTGAAGTTATTTCAATATGTTATCATCTAGGTGTAACTCACCAAAGAGATAGGGTTCTATTAGTCTAAAATCAGGATCGTCATAATTAATATAACTCTCTTCTGATTCTATTACCTCAGTTATATGTTTCTTAAGATTTCTGAGAGACTTCTCAAGAATTTTTTCTGTATTCATATTGAGAAAGTATATCAAGCCTCTTCTAGATCCTAATTGATTTGTATCGATCAGGGAAATAGAGCCTTCAAGAATTTGATGAACGTATTCAGCACATTCAAGACTTGGTCTTTTAAATTTCTTAATGTTCCTGATAATCAAGTTCTTACAAGCCTCTCTTGGAACAAATAGACCAGACTCTATTCCATTCACAATTCTGATTTCTCTAAGAATATCAGATTCGCTTAGTTTATGGAGGGGATCAATTTTTCCTATTTTGTCTTTCATATAAGTTTGGAATATTTCATAGATAAAAGCTCCTCCATCAAAAAGCTTTCTTCCATCAACATGAATAATCTTGCTGTGCTCAATAACACGTTTGAACTCAATTCAGTATTCGTCAATAATGTTTGAGATAAAAGTTACCACATCTTGCTCATCATTTAGCTCAAATCCAGCTCCCAAACTTTGAAGAGTTTTCTCTCATTCCATGAAGTTTTGACTGATCTTTTCTTGAATAGAAGGCAGATGCTTTTTAATGTGATTGCTAAGTAACTTACTTAGCTTCTGAGCAAGTGCTGGAGTGCCTTGAGTATGAGCAATATGCTTATAAGCTGGGTGCTTTCTGAAGAAGTCAACTTCATCTTGTAGCGATTCCATTATTGTCTTTCCTTTATTATTATCTTCTTGAGATCTGCACTTCACTCCAATAAACCCATGCTTCAGCTTATATTTTGTTCCATTAATGAAATCCAAAGCATTTGTGCCTTTATCCATAATATCAATCTTGGTCATGACACCAAAGGTTCTATCTCTATTAGGGTCTACTTTTTTGGCATATAGAAGACCATCAGAATTTGCAATATCATTATTGGCAGGAGATATTGCCAATATAATAGTGTTTTCTTTCCTGATATACTCCAGTACAAGATTCTCTATTTCTTGGCTTATTCCAATCGTCTGGTCGTCAAGATCAAGGCGGGTAAAACCTGGAAGATCAATAAGAGTGAGGTTAGGTACTGTCTCATTAAAGATTGTTAGAAAGATCGGCTTATTTACGATCTTTTTATCGGAACCGGCAAGTTCATCAGTTCTAAACTCTATTTCCTTCCTAACCTCTTCAAAATCCTCAAACTTATTTTCCTGGCACATGGTCGAATTTAGCATAAGTATCGCCTTCTCTGTGAATTAGTTGTAGGATCAGTGGTCATCTTGTAACGATCCCAACTCCTCGAGGTAAAAAGTCTTCTCCAACTATTGATTCCAGAACTGAAGACTTGCCACTAGACTGGGCTCCAATAACAGCGATCCTGGGTAGATCAATATCGTATTTGAGATTAGCTTCCTGAAGGGCAAGCTGAATCTCATTCATCATGGCAATGATACCTTGCATTTCCATTTAAAAGCGGTATTATATTATAGTTCAATTTGTAGTAATATAAGCGGGGTTTTGGGGTTTTGGGGTTTTGGGGTTTTGGGG